GCTTCTGACCTACATCAACGACCCTTCATATATTCTTGCAGGTTCACGTCTACGTTTTGCGGACGACTTGAAATCCTAGGCTTTAAATGCCAGGCCCTCCAAATGGATGTAGACGTCGTAAAGCGGTGGTCGTCGTACTGGCGCCATCCTCTGAATGACAAAAAGTGCGTCCTTATGTCATTCGGAGGAGATTCGGTGAACGCCTTTGTCGTGCATGGTGAGAATGGGTCAGAAAACATTACAAGGATAGACACTAAATAGGATTCAGTGGTCCAATTCTCTAAGAACATGCATCACTGGCTCAAAAAGCTTTCGCCGCTCTGCGGATAATTCGGCACACCTTCCCCTCTATTGTTCGCAGTATCTTCTTGTACCAGTTTTAGTGTTATTCTTAGAATCTTTGTAGATCTGTGGGCCAACACTCTCGTGGTGCTTTTCAAGATGCAGGTGAGTTGCGGCAATACGCTTATCTGCCTGACGTCTGGAGAGTCAGGTTTGTCGGATGGACTTCCAAGCTATTGTCCCTTTGTCAAAAGGCTCCGTGGAAAACTTTCAAATTCCACTTCCTTCTTTAACGTTGAATTCTAGTGTCCTACGTTGTCTTACGTTGTCCCAACCTGCCAAAGCATGCTCAGATGCTGGTCCACTGGTAGCGCTGAACATCACTGGCTCAAAAAGCATTCGCCGTTCTACGGATAATTCGGCACACCTTCCGCTTTATTATTCGGGGAGAATTTCAAATAGTATATGTTGCATACGTCAGAGGGCTTCTTGAATATGCCAAGTAGTTTACGCGCTTAGGATGCAATAAAGCACTATTAGACATTTATTTATGCGAATCCTCGCGCTGGCAAGCGTACTGCCCCGCGCTGAGAATATAAAGAGCAGTTCTACACCCTTTTTCACCTGTTCCTTTTAGGTGAACGACAGCCACTGACCGACAGGAACAAAACCGTACCGGGAAACTTGGGCAAATGCCTCGGTCCTGTGTATCAATCCGTGAATCCGTGAAAAACCCGTAACCCCCACTGAGAAAGCCCAAACAACATCTACAAAAATTTTACTGTTCCTAAACATGAAAACAATGAAACGCGCATCACCGTCCTTAGCCTCTGTTACCTTGACTTTCCCAGCCTCCAAGGAAACTTAATGCTCACTTTTGTCTTATTCGAACAGTGTTTGACCGACAGTTTTTCCACCGGTAGCACCTCCGTCTCAAATCAGGTTCATGTTAAGATTTCTAAGACCAGCGCACACACCTTAACTTGGCCACATTTTTTCCAACTGGGGTAGTTGATGCTTAGAATAAACTTTCTACGATGGTTGTCTACCTTTCCTCTGGTACCCCTTTCAAAATACTTTGGACGATTTCTTAGCTTGTTCCCGCTCTGGCAATCTTACTGACCCTGAGTGAGAAGAAAAAGGGCAATGCTGTAGCCTTTTTCGCTTGTGTCGCTCAAGTGAACGGAAACCGCTGGTTGACAAGAAAAAACGCCCCAAGAAGCCTGGATCCTGTGTATCAATCTGTGAATCCGTGTATCGGCACACGCCAAAAAGTGATATTTGTTTGTCTGGGTCGATACACTCTAGGCGGGAAGACGGTCGGCCAGCCATGGTTCGTTGCTTATGGTCATTTTTATTAACTGTGTTTAGACTAAGATTCGCGCTTCGAAGCTAAGAGGGGTTCCAGAATCTGATCTTCAAAAGCAACTTGGTGACTTGAAGACAGAACTTAGCAGCTTACGTCTTTATCGAGTTACCAGAGGTACATCGTATCATGGGAAGCTCAAAAAGATGTAAGTCGCAGTGTGTTTACTCATCCCAAATCTAGTCGTGTTCTTCGGAAGTCGATTGCTCGGGTCTACACTGTGATGCATCAGGCTCAAAAGGAACGGCAAAGAGAGGCATACCGGTCCAAAAGATACGTGCCCAAGGACCTCCGACCCAAGAAAACTCGAGCAATACGTCGCAGACTGTCTAGGAAAGAAAGATCTATACACTCGGCGAAGTCTATGCATAAGGCAAGAGCTTACCCCCCGAGGATATATGCTGTAAAACGCTGATTTCAATAAAACGGTGACACGGATATGTATACTGGCCATTGCGGTTCATTCGTTTTGCCCAGGAGGAATGGTCCTAACTTCAAATGTAATACAGGAAACTGTTCTTCTTGACCTTCGGAAGCCATGCCCTGCGCACCGGTTTACTTGAAAATGGAAAGCTTTTGCGGCCTCCAGAACAGAGACATTGTGGTCCCGTTGTAATTTGTTCCGTCGGCAACGGAGGAGTCACCCTCGTCACGCATCCCGATTAACCTATTTCCACAGTTATCAGGAATGTAGCTGTACAGTAAGGTCGCGTTAGGGGCTGATTTGAGAATGGGAGCACTCAGCTTGCTTTCCTCATTCAACGGTATTTCGTCAGGTTGCGTTAGTTTTGCCATCATTGAAACCGTAAGCGCGTTCTCACTGAACTGACCGTGGTCACTTACGTTTCGAACGAAATGAGCAATGGAGACCAACCTATCTCTGATTGTTCCACCCGTGAAGTGCGGAAGGAAAAACCCTTAAACGAAGGATTTCAAAGTTCGAGAAAAAACGACACAAAGAAAGTGACGAATTCGACGGTATGTGGAAAGTGGATAATTTCGCTGTAGACGGTCCACAGAGGGGCATATATGGAGTTTACGGTTTAATGGTACAGGCCGAAATAGCCCAGTGGTTAAGCAGCAGACTCACCGGAATGTTCATTGTTGGCGCCTAACTTCGGCAGCTCGACCGCTCCTGTTATGGATTGGTTTACTAGCACTACCTTAGACGTGCTTCCTTCGGGTGGCACGGCAGCTAGGCACCGAAGTGGTGCTACTGCTGGACGGTTGTTTTTTACTACAGTTGAATGGGTTAAATGATAATGGCAGTAGTGCCCAAGTGGGTGGCGAACTTCAGACATAAGAACGGGGTTGAGGTATTTGCGTACACTAAAGACGAGTTCAACCTATCATCAAGGACCAAACTGCCGTGAACACCTTCATTAAGAAATAATTTTGACCGCTGAGTGGAGCTGTTCAGCAACAATCCTCATCGGCCTGCTACCACTCGGTCGGGTAAACGAACTCTGTAGATGGAGGCAAACAACAGACAAGCGCTGACTGGGGATTTCATCCTTTAACAATGTGAGTAGATTATCCAGACCGCAAGTCGGTGCGTGGGATGGAAAATACGCAAACCTGAACATCCGACGCCGTCGGGAGTTCAGAGTGAATCCCTCAGTCAGCGCTTGTCTGTTATTTTTGCTTCCGTCTAAAGAGTCTCACAGTCATCTGAAGGGAATACGAAAGTTTGCCCATTTCAAAAAAGCGGGCCTGTACCGAGTGGTTATCACGGCTAAGCTTGACCCTAGTCTTAACGAGACCCTCATCACTCCCGTAGATCATTGAATTGGGAGCGGCAGGTGCTATTTTGGCCTGACAGGAGTCATGTTGACTGGATTTCCGAGGTGCTAAAAAAATGTCACACGTCCAGTGTAGGTCTGGGCGTCCTGGTAGTATCCATCCTTTCGTACAACCACGACATTTGCTACGACGGTTAAGCATGTGTCACTGTGTGATGAAAGCTTTATGAAAATTGGTATCCGAAACAGATGCTCCCTTCCAAGGAATGAGGTGAATGCGAGGTCTTCAAGGCACGTGTTCAAATAACTGCTGACGAAATGCTCTTCGGCTGGGACTGTGTCCTCTTCGAAGTGTCAGGAGAAAGTACAAGGTCTTGGATGAATATGTGCAATTCGCACACAAAATGTGAGGTCGTACTCCTGGATTTGCAGTCACTGAGCACGGTACTTTCCTCCCGATGGGGGTTACTTGACGTTGCCAAGTGTCTCTAGAATCTTGGAAATTACGTAAATGCCAAATCTATTGTAGCAGATCAGTGCACAAATTAGGTCGCCTCTGTTAATCGGGACAGTCTTTCTTACCTTATAGCCGTAACTTGCCGTTAGTTGCCAGTGTATTCTGAACGAGATAGACATGAAAATGCAACAGGGACTTCAGTGGGACGATATGTCCAGAACTTGAGGTTCAACTTCATTGACAGTAACCTCAGAGAGCACCGGTGCTCCAGTGCCATACACCCAAGACAGTATGCACACAAAGCCTTATCATAAAAGATATATGACGTGAGTGGGTCTAAGGCAGCGAACTATGAAAGCCATTAATAGCAAGCTCAGCCGCGCTGGTCGTTGCTGTCTCTCTCGATGGGTACCCCGAGACAGGACACATTTGTGGTTAGAGACACTGTCAAACATGGCCCAGTCGTGGCCATTGGTGCTCGTGCGTCCAAGCTATTGCCTTCAATGCATGGCTCCCCTCCCAATCCTCCCAAAGAAGTTCAGAAACCCCGTTTCTATGCGCCAATTAGATCAACTGTCGTATCCAGTGCGTAGCTATCTACTTCACCTTCCCAAATAATTTTACGAATGAAACTGTGGCGGCTATATACACTACGGCAACCACGCGCCTTTTACAGCTGGTGATGTTTTACTGTGATCATCATTGTAAGACAATGATGGTTGTTAATTGGTCCTGCAAAATCAGTATCTAACTGCGGCCAAAGCTTAGTTGTTCCAGGCCAACAAGATAACTCGGGATTTCGCAGAACACTGATGTTTTGGACTACCAGTTCGAGGTTTTTTCCCCCCATATTCTGGCAGTGTACACAATTCTCGCATTCATTCAGTTTATGCCTAGGTACCCAAAATGAAACTGCTTTAGTACTGGGGCTTGCAGTTTGTCTGGTATTACAACACGTTCATCAAAGAGGAGGCATCCGTCGACTTCAGTTAGATGAGGTCATCGACCGTATAACTACTGGATGTCGCGTGTCACTGACGGTATCAGCCTTTTCGGTGATAGTTAACTACTTGTTGAGGCACGGGGTCACATCTGGTTTTGTTCAAACAACCGGAAAGGCTCGAATGAATGCAGTGGGTATGCTGCAAACTTCCGGTTCAGCCGAAATTGGAGCCACAACTCAAAAAGTCCATCTGGTCAATGGTATTTGTAGACTGGTATCAGATTGAAAAATCATAGCCCAGGAGAATGGTCGCCTAACGCTGGGGACAGTTTACCGTGTATACCGGAACTCCTTTCTTCGAACGAGAATGCTGACAAGTGGTTTGTGACCAGTCAGGAGTGTGAAATGGTGACCGTAAATCATTTTGTGGAATTTGACGGCAAACATGACTGAAAGTGCATCATCTATTCGACTAATTGCGTTCGGCTGGCATCAAAGATTTGGCGGCATTGGTGATGGCATTTCCAATCACTTCAGGAAATCTATGGGGGCATGACCTTTCCGATTTCATGGTTGGATGCATCTGACGTTAGAATGATATTCATAGATGAGTTGTAATGTATGAACACCAAGTCTGACGATGGCAGTGGTTTAACTCTGTCGAAAACTGAGTGACAGATTCTAAGGACCATCCTTTTTAAGTAAGTTGAGAGGACCACGAACACGCTGCGTTTGTTGTAGGAAAATGCTGTAATGGCACATTAACCCTAGGGAAGATTGTAGCGAGGGTACGTCTGTCGGTGCCGGCGTTCTCTGAATTACGTCACTATTGTCTGGGTCAGGATAGCGGCCAGATTGATCGAAAACGAAACCCAAATACTTGGTAGATGTAAGAAAATGCACGTTTTTCTGCCCGAGGATGAAAGCCGTGTTTCTAGATTCGGTTAAGCACTGAAGGCTTTTTTCTGATCAAACAATAAGCTGTAACACCCTCTCGATGTCAAGCTTCCGTACCACCGGAAGCAAGCTCGAGGTTTGAGATACTGCTAGATTACCCAAGCCGAGACAGGAGCAGTCAAGACGCTGGGTTTGGGTTAGAACCACTGGCCTTCCAGTCCGTTGACACCTTATCGGTGACACCTGATCAGAAGCTGCCACGGTAATATCATCCAAGTACGTCACAACGCCAGTTAGCTCCTTAAGTATAGCGACTACACTGTCGGAATATGGCTGGCATCGTTCTCTCTCCAGAAAGAAGACGACTAAACCGTAAGAGATCACGGTACGTGTTAATGGTTAGATCCCTGGAGTCATTCGTAAATAGGTATCAACCAGATGCAGTTTAGCAAAGCAAGTGCCACCATTGAGTTTGCTAAGCAGGTCTTTAGGAACTGGGAGAGGATGTTGATGTGATCCAAGTGCAGCATTCAAGCTTGTGTAATAATCAGCACAAAGCCTGATCTTTCCATTTGTCTACCTGAGCAGAACAGTGGTAGCTCCTCAGGAAGAGTAGTTGATAGGCTGGATAACACCTGAAGATTGGAGACGATCGAGTTCAGCGACCTCAATGCAAGAACTCCATCAGATATACGTTTTGATGTGAAGACAGGTTTGCTATTTGGGGAAGAGTAGTAGGCTGGATAACACCTGAAGATTGGAGACGATCGAGTTCAGCGACCTCAATGCAAGAACTCCATCAGATATACGTTTTGATTGATGTACAGGTTTGCTATTTGGGTTCAAATGAAGGTGGAAGGACAAGAGTTAGCTGATCTATCCAATCTTTGAGGCAGCACCTGTCTTTAACTTGCATATTATTGAAAACATCACAAGTGAGTTGAGTTCTAAGCGGTGAGTTGTTGTCGGAAGTGGATTGTGCACAGTAGTTGGCAGCAGAAAATAATGGTTTCCCGATTGCATTACAAAGGAACGTGGAATCAGTGTGATGGCTGAGGCTGTATCGAGCTGCAGTTGGACAGAATGATTATTCACGGAAAATATGGTAAATTTCCTGCGCTTTTGCCTAATCAATTGGAATGATACGGAGACAGAATTCGATCGACGTCGCTTTCGCTGTGATGTAGGAGTCGTTTTGGGTGCGCTCTTTTGGTTACCAACCAAACTGGTTCTCTGTGGGAAACAAAATCACTCCTTATGACTAATGCGACACGACGTCTGAACGGCTTAAATTGAGTGTAATGCCGATCACCACGAGACCAAGGCGATGCAGAAAACTCATTTTGTTCGAGGTGACAATTGCCCTGAAGAGCCTTATTCTTAGTTTAGGAGATATGGCGCACTATGTTGTGTGAGCCAGCTGATACTCAGCCGATCATCAGGCCATCCTGGCTCAGTTGGATGAGGCGGTGAACTTCCACACTGAGCTCCTATAAGGTTGTCGGTGGTTTTTATTCGAGTTGGTGTGATGATTTTATCCGGATCTTTGAACGTGCATGTCGCGCAGAGCTTGAAATACTTACATTCTTGAGAGTATGTATTTCGCGTAGTGTTTATGTTCACGTGTGCCAAGTTTTCGAAGTGACAGCCGTACCATCCAAGATCAACTTGGTACCTCTTAAATCAACAGTCGAATGTTCGATTCAGTGATAGAATCAGCTATTTTCGGAATTCAGGTTTTTGGTCAGCACTTTCATGAGTTTCATCTGCGTTTGCTCAAATCCTTTTTCTTGTGTTCCGAAATCACCTGGAGTTGGTCAGCTGATATTCTCGTCGTCGCCAGCGTTTTAGCTTTATGGTAGCTGAGTGATTTAGAAAGTTGATGGAACTTGTTATATGTCGTCAAATGGTCTAAGTACTTTGATGAGGAATCCCAATGAAGAAGACAGGGGAGACCGGATGAAGTTTGACTATATGGAGGATGAAACAATGGAAGAAAGATCGCTGCGGCTGAATTGGCTATTGCAGAGAGAGAATAGACTCTCAGTGGAATCTGACGAACGATCGATTTGTTCGTTAGGACCTGACCATCGTAGCAAGTACTCGCTGCTGTTGGTCTTAATACTCCTTTTGGTACTTAGCTTGGTTTACCATTGTAGTGAAGTTCCAGGCATCGTTGTAGAACTGAATTCCGACCACTGCAGTGTTTAGAGAGAGAAACTGCAGTGCACTCACTACCAAAGCTTCAGGTTCCAGGGACGTGGTAGACTTCAGCCGGCACAATATCTAAAGTACACGCAAAAATAGCTTGTAGGCCAACCTATTTAGGAGTTCTCACTTTTAAACCTGCAACAAAAACGAGGCCGGATTGACGGATTGGAGTTGTGGATGTACGCGGCGGCATGTAGGTGACCCAACAAGTGCCTGACTGACGGCTTTCAGCTTGGTTCTACATAAGAGTGATTGGCAAGTGCGGTCCGTAACAAGGCGAAATTTTCTAGTGTTTTTCTACTATTGGATGGTTTGTCTCAAATTCATCCCAACAGACTCATTCAGCCGCATAGCAGAATTTGTTTTTTTTTCTATTAGAACTAACGGGCCATGATAATACGCACCATTTCCGAATCTACACACGAGGAATACGTGTGCTGGAACCCAACTGGTGCATAAACACGAAAAAGTTCAAGTCCGCTGCCACTGAATTCAGGCTCCTGCGCCATATACCATGCACCAGTAACATCAAATCATGATCAGAAGACATACCACTATCAACTCCCGTATTTGCATCAAACCTTCAGATACGAAACACATTCCCGGCATGAGTTTATATATCCCGCGATAAATACCATGTTTTTCAGTGATAGCGGAGTGGGCGTTGCGATATTTGAAATATCAGAGTTTTGTTTACGTGGATGTTTCCAATACTGGCCTGGGAGTCGCCTTATGTCAGATGCTACATGGGGACGCCAAGACCGTTACTCGCTCGTCGCGCACATCACTGTATTGTGAAGACTAAAGCTCTGACCTGTGTACGCGCATGTGAATAGCGGTATCCTGTTTTTCGCTCTATCCTTCATGAATCGCAGGTCATTCTGCGCTAATTGAGCGGTTCGGTCGAAGATCTATAAAAGGATAGGAATGGCACTCCAGGCTAGTGAAATATGGCTTTTAAATCAAATAAGGACCAGATGCGGCGAAACGGACTGCCTTACTCAGGATGACGTGGTAACAATGAGGTCTAAGGAGCGAATCACATAGATACACAATCACAGCAAGTGTGTCGGTTCCTTCGGAATGGTGGATTTTGGCCTCAGTGAAACTTTGTCCGTGAATGACTTACGCAAAATACACCTCACACGAAGATTAACCCGTAGATAATTCGTACCAATAATAGTTTTCAAGACTGGGGATGAGAAACGCCTTGAATGCTCCGTTCATGAGTTTGTTAAATTTCCAAACCAGTTTATGAGACAGTTCAACCTACAGTCTATTGTATGATGTCATAGGTAAAACCAGTGATTGGTCTACAGGCCACCTTGGTTCCGTTACCCAACACCATAACTACTGCCTGGTCGCAACATACTTTTAAACCAAATGTTTAGGAACTCATGATTTGGCTGCTGTGAAAGTAAAATGGATAGAGCTAAGGATTCCAAGCATGCATGAATAAAGACAGCGGTTTCGAAGGCACCTAATCAGTCTTCTGACAGTCATTCTACGCCAGGCTGAAATGCAGCCTCTTTTGGTGTAAAACACTTAATCGGGTTTAGCCATTATACTGACATTTCCGAAGAAGCCATTGCAATTCCGGTCGGACGATCTGGGTGGAAACAAGCCTGTATATCTTCGAAGTTTGTGTATACTAACTGGGCAGGCTTTTGCAATCGCAACACAGCGATATAGAGCGTAGTGCCATTGCAACCCACGCTGCTTTTATCTCAGTGTTCCGTTCGCTTGTTTAAGGCTCCATATGTTGACGGAACCCACAATCGTTCATTGCACTAAGAGACCAGAAGCACACAGAAGGAAGTAATTCATAGCTTCCTTCTGAGAGATCGTCACTCGTGGTGTGATTTCCTTCTCTGAGGGCTGAATGGCGATATATCTTATCTAATTGGTAATTAATTACACTGTTGAATGACTGTTCGTGGCTAGACGGTTTAGCCTTCAGCTACCGGCTGGGAGGGCTCAATTTGTCTCAGAAATTCGTGACATGGCCCCGGTCTCACAGTGCTTTTTTGGCAAAGATTAACCTCCCATACAGGACGAAATCGCGACTAAAAAAATTCACAAATCTTATTGCGACTTGGACCAGGCCTCTTCTTTCAAAAGACCTGTCACACTATCTCTATTCTGGTGCATGTGACTAATTCCTCTTCAGAGTTTGTTTGTTGGGTTTGATTAGAGTAGAAGTGGTGCTGTTTGTCGTCGAACGGAGTTCGATCCAATGTCGACTATACCGAAAGGTTTTTCTGTTTTGTAGTACCTAATCTGGATAGGTAACCCTACTGGAGCTGTCTTGGATGACCAAACGTTGTATTCGAGCGAGATGCATGACAAACCACAAAGACTCATACAACACAGAACCTAACCGACTCAAGGATTTAGAAGTTCCAGCTCTTTGAGATTGTTACAATTCCTCCGAATGAAGTTAAAGTGCAGGTAACAGGATTGCCACTCCACCGAGTATGATACCGCTTTCACCGGGACAGGGCATTCAAGGGACTGATTAGGTAGATATGGTCCCATTATTTTTTCAACCAAGGCCCAGGTTAATGAACTAAAAACAGCCGTCTGCTCCACGAGAGTACCGGTCACGTGACCCTCAGACTGACCATTCTCAGCACCTTACACTTTTTGAGCGTCATACCCGGAAACAACACCAAGGTTATGATGTTTCACAAACTCGGTGCGCTACGATTTAATTCGGATCATAATTGAAGCGCACAAGGAAGCAATCCATCGTATCCAAGCTGAAAAATAAAATCGTGTTGAGTTCGGTCCACCTCGTCTCTAACTGGCATAGAATGGGACATTCAATCTACACCAGCAGAATGGTTACCTTGGGTTTCGAATCAACATCGGTTCTCAAGCTGCTCCAAGTAACCGCACCTGCCTAGGTAGAGCAGTGGATAGCAGACGTACTAGCCTTCATTATTGCTACCTATTGGCAATTTTCTTCCAGCTGAATATTTTTACAGGAGGTTGCAGATTGCCTTTCAGGAGTCTACGGAGCGCATACATGAAATGGGTGCTGCTTTACCGGAAAGGCTGTTGTTGAGGCTTCCCAAAACATGACACTTGAGATTTCTGTGGGGTACTCGGGATAGTATAAACCTGTGGAGTTAACAAGGCTTAATTCCCATTCGTTTATCCCCACCTTGATCACCTGTAGGAAGAACAAAACCAGGTATATTGCGTGGGTGTGGCCATCTCCGATCCCTTCATACGGTGATCGATCACTGCTCAGCAGTGTAATTCCCGATAGAGACACACTGAACAAAACACCGAAAGTCCATCAGTAAGGTACACATATTGAACACATACCGAAAAGTGTATCACAATTGCGCAGAACATTTGTAAAAACAGATACTTCTCTATGGGCGTAACTAGCACCAATAGAGATGGGGTACAAGATATGCAACTGCAACATGTCAAAAATAAAAGCAACAAGCTGGAAATGTGCGGTGGCCAGGAACAGCACACGTCACATGAACGGGTTGGCTATCTAGATTCGGCACAAACAAAACAAAATGGGTAGGAAGGCTGCCACGGAACCCAAAATCGGTAACAACCAGTAGGATGAGTCTGTGTTTTCGTAAGGGTCGGGAACACGAGGGGAACCAGCCGGTCTCTTTCGGGGTTGTGGCTCAGGTTCATATTTCGGAATATGGTGCTGCTCTTTGGGTTCCGGTGCGGATACCAGATCAGATGGGACGATCGCCCGTAAGTCTATCAGAAAAGCAGAATGTCAGTGTTAATATTGAGGCGTCACTGAAAACAGCACAGCAATAACTGGCATTAGCGCTTTGTTGAGGCGGTCTGTTTCGACAAGATTTGCGAAAAAACAATGGGAGCACGAGAAACTCAACTTATAAGAGAATGAAGACTCTAATGTGTGGTCTCGACTGGCCGTGACTGACTGACTAAGAGATCATCGACACAAACAAGTTCCCAACCCCTGAAAGTTGAAGATCTCCTAGCGTTAAGATAAGTGAACTCTGTCCAATATTTCTAGCTAACAAGTTACATTTCAGTGGTAACGTACACATTTTTTTCTAACTGCCTTTGCACACTCTGGAACAATTGTTTAGAAGAGTATAAGGCCTGCGTGTGACTCCACATCCATTCACTCACATTACGGCTAAGCCAATATCCCCCTCTCTCTTCATGAAGCAGCCAAGACAGCCACATTTGGGGCAACTTGCCGCTGTCACATACGGCAGAACACCTTCTCATGCACAAAAGAATGGCACGCGGAGTTAAGATCAAACTGAACGACAGACAACTGAAAATTGTGCGTGCGTG